TGGTAACTTGGGTTCAAAACGACTGTACGGCAGTTTGTCCCCATCAACGAGCCGAACGACTAATCAGTCGACTCCAGCGCGGTCCCAGGTTTAGCTAGTAAAGGTGGCACGTACTCTGCGCATAAATTTGATGCGTGGACGATGGGGCAAATTATCAAGATGATCGCTGATGGACGAGAGTTCAGTCTTGTCGGGTAAGGAGCCTCTCGGCGTGACGATTGGTTGATGTTTCGGGAGACGTGCTTGCCTACTTTCGTCGACGTGAAACAAAGCCGTCGGACGCATCCGAGTTTTCATCGGTGAACAGCATAAAATGACAATCTGCCTGTGGTTGAACAAGCAAGAGTTGCAAAACAAAGTCCATCTGTGAAAGGCGTTACGGCTTGTGCCTGTCAAGCCAATGTTTGTAGCCACTTGGAATTCAGAAACGCCAGCCAGCTCGGACGAGTACACACAGAGCCTTCCACATCCATGAGCAGCGTTATGGGGTCATATCTACTGTTCTCTGAGGTAAACGGTGGTGCTCACATACGTATATTTCTGGTTCGTCTGCCGTGTTAGTGGTAAACAACTTGGGCGATGCGAAGAGGAAGTTCTCATGTCAGAAATCTCGGTCTCACTCGTGCGGACGTATCGTCTATGATGTGCTGTCGAAACAATAATAACGAGATTACTGACACCTTTCGTTGCGAATTGAGGAGGCAGACGCAGGAGAGGACGGTGAAAAGCGGAAATTATGCGAGGTATTAAGCTCTTTTTGCATCATCTTCCGGTGGAGAAAATGGAGTGTGGATTTCTAACAGTTCCTTCGATTTTTCAGGTACTCGTGCGGCGAGAACGACAACGTCGTACTTTGACAGACTTAAGCAATCTAAATACATTGTTTTCTGTCTAATTTCAACACGTACGTTAATCGCCGTCACCACTTGTCTTTTTGTCTGTTTCTATATCTTTTTAGTTCTTCAATTATCTATCTTGCTGCTTTTTAAGCGATGCTTTCTTCTTTGTCTAATTTCGACATTAGTCGTATTTTTGACGCTGCATTTCGACGCCTCGATAATGACAGCAGTTTTTCTTGTGGACACGTCACTTTGTGTACCCAAGACAAGTAAAGAGAGCACAAGTTTCGAGCTGTCAGTGACGACAAAGGCGAGAAAACACTCACTCATGGTTCTTGAAATCAAGACAGAGGAACTGCTTATCGGCTCTGCTTTCATGACGAACGACTGCTGCTTTATCTACGTGATCACACACTCATTGTCCGAAAATCCTGCATCAGAACAACTTCAGTGTCTACACGACCACAATGACGTAGAAACCACTATTCCCAGTTTGCGGTCTTCGGTCTTTTCTGACGTGGTGAAGTGAGCTTTCGTCGTCAATACTAGATAGTGAGTCGCTGTAAGCACCTGAACGCAGTCTGCCGTATGCTAATCGTGCGACCAAACCAGCAACGTGTGAATACCTTCTGGTCGTGTTGAAGCTTTTCTTAATCACCTCATGAATGGATTAATAATTGCGACAAGACCCAGTCATGTAGCTGATACTGAGAGCAGTCGATTACGTTACTGTCCACGTAAACTGTTGTCCAGATGTCCAAGTTCTGACCTTCCGACCGATTTCGAGCACGTCAGTTCCGACAAGTTGTCGTTAAAACGAACGGACCAATAAAACCCGAATGTCATTATTTCGACACAAAATTCTCGAAAAATCTCGACACGCGTACGTGCGTGCGCAAGAGCTCAAGCACGAAGGCACGTTCTTATCGTCCGACCTATGCACAAAGTTTCAAGTCGTTGTTGACAGCTCGTAATCAAGTGTCAAGAGCGTCACTTTCCGTACCTGCAATACATGATAATGGTGATGATCGTCATCATTTCAGACGATGGTAGTCAGCCATACCGGTATTTCCTCCTCCGCTCGCCCAATCACAACCGCAAACAAGAAAAAAGAAAACAGTCCCACCTTCCACCACGTCACTTCCGTCGACACGAAAAAAGCAACACGCACACACACACACAGCCCCGTTAAAGTGCACGGAAATAACATACTTCGTGTAATCGTGTAAACCTGCAAGACCCAATACATTTCACTCCGCCCATCTGTATCAACGATACAAGGTCCCACCAAAAAAACGCACAAACACTAGCACAACTCCGCCTCTGCGGCCACTGGCGCTATCCCGTTCCACAGTCGGAACAAAGTCCCGACGCCAACAAGCGCTCGAAACCTGCAGTCGGTCCTCTCGCGTCCCTCCTTCTCGCAACGCGTAGGTAAGCGGGTAGCTGGCTACATTTTTATCTCTCTCTCTCTCTCTTAGCGATCCACGCGCGCTGAAGGTCGTTCGTGGCCGCCCCGCGTGTCCGTCCGCCTCTGCGGCCACTGAACGCGCGGCTGATTGGCCATTATCCTGACACCCCGACTTCCACCGATACCGAATCGTATCGGTATCGGGTACGGTATCATGAACACGACCAGGCGTACCCCTCGTTGTTCCGTACCCTTTTTTGTGCTATTCGTAACAATGACGACAACAGCAACAATGACGATGATGATGACGACGCTCGGACTTGGCAATGCTGTAAACACGCCAGCTACTGCCTATTCGTACACTGCAGCACCGTCAGCAGACGTCGTCGTAACTGGAGGTCTTGATGGACGCGTGTTCGCGGTCGACGCCTGGTCTGGCCACATCCTGTGGTCCTTTGACTCGGGTGGTCCCATGGTCCATTCGACGCCGTGTCTGGATGTGGAGCACGCTCCGAATACGACGCCAGACGTGACGCCGACTACGTACCAAGCAACAGCTAAAGAGCCACGGGAAGCCACACAGGAAGACGTGGACGTCAATGGAAATGTTCACGTGACAAGTGCTCGGGCAGGGCATTCCGCGGCTGTGCAGGAGCGCTCGGTGACGAGGCAGCAGCAGCAGCAGATGGAACTGACGACAGCGCTGGCAGCGCGTACTGCCATGTTTATGTCCCAACTCGTGCCGTCGTACGATGGCAGATTGTATCATGTGTCGAAGGGCAAGGTGCAAGAGCTGGGGATGACTATGGCTGACATTGTTCATGTGAACGGTCCTGTACGTGTGGCCGTGGATGCTACGGTGACTGGTGATGAACCTGCTGTGGACGTTCCAGCAGCAGATATTTTGATCTTTGGCGAGAAAACGCTGGAACTGTTTACACTGGATGCAGCTAGCGGCTCCCGTCGCGCTTATTTGTCATCATCCACGGCATCAATAGCGGTGTCTAGTGATGTCTTGTTTGGCCGCTCGGATTTTACCACGCGAGCTGTTCATTCCCGTAATGCTTCAGCTGCTCGATGTTTCAAAATCTCAGAGTTCTTTTTGGACTTTGCACAGCAGGCACATTGTCCGGTCGGAGACAGCGGTCATAAGATGGCTCCCGAAATTCTTGTACTGCCGAAGGATTATGACGCAGCATCAGCGAACACGAGTTCCACCATTATTGCGTTTGATCCCTGGACAAAAAAGCAGCTATGGGAATTCGAGATTCCCGACTTCGATGTTCTGGCCGTATATGGAATATCCACGGTGCGAGGAGCTACGTTTTACAAGTGGAAGGTGGACGGTCCATCGTCATCGCGACGTGTCCGGACTCCAGCGCAAATGACCGCAGAGGATTGGCATCGCCGTCGATACTCGATTGATTCCACACAATCAGCGACTATCGTGAAGCAGGAACAGGAAATCGAGAATTTGTCGACGGAGCGCCAATTGGTGCGAGTGCTTCCAAGCACATGGGATACAGTGGGTGCACGATTCCGAATGCGCTTAATAGGAGGTGATTACTTTTTCGAAGTGAGTGAGAACGATGGTGATGTGGTCACCAAACGCGGCAACCGTCCGCCTGTATCCCACAGCAAAACAAACAGGCGACACTTATGACTATGATGGGGAGGAGATAGAGTCATTCGGCAGTCGACGAGCATTATGGGAGCCTATTATTAATGGTGGTAAGCAAGGTGTGTTTATCACGTACACGCACGCAGTAGTCATGCTATTAGGTGTGGCTGCGTGTGGCATCTTGCTAGCGTGGGGGTGTTATTTCAAGGGACTATCAGCTTCTTTAGCGCAATCTGCTATTAAAACCTTGGACCAGAGCCAGTTTTTACGTCTCATGTGCACCGACTCATCATACAGCGCCCAGGGAAGAAGACATGACTATTTCAAGTGTGATCAGCCACTCGCTATTGATAAACACTCTGGGCGGGAATAGCCAGGTGCCACTGTTGGAGAATGGTGATGTCGCGCGACCAGGAGCTGGCGCTAAGGGTGTTGCCGCAACTGAAGCCATGCTTATGGAAAGGTTTTCGCGCGCTGCGGCTAATGAATCTGCAGCAATTCTTCTTAGTGGTCGATACGTCAGCAGGAAGCAAAAATTGCTGATGGACGATTTCTACATGGATGGTATTGTAAGTGTAGCTGCGCCTTCGTACTCTGCGACGCAATTGACTGATACAGTCATTGAAGATGTATCGATGGGATCCCCTGCCGTTCCCGTTTTTAGCCAGGGATCTAGATTTACATGCAGCAGGGAATCCCCCCTGTTTGCTGAAGCAGATCGTGTGTCCAAAGAAGATGACGACGATTCGGACACTTGCAAAGTGCTGCCGTCTGCGGTTGACGAGGATGTCGATGTCGAATTCTTAGCCATCGATCACGTGCTTCAGAACGACTCCTTCAAGCCGACGGATTTAGAGAAGGACACGTTTTATACCGGTACCGACTCTGCAAGAGTCATGAGCGGCCCAAAGTCGATCAGCTCATCTGGAGAATTAACAACGGGAAGCTGTTGCAGCAACAGCAACAGTGACAGCAGTCATCAGTCGAGTGGAGGCGGTGGTACGCGATGTGTGCGAGGCAATCAAACTGGTATGGATGAAAGGCAAAGCGTGGACCAGTCCAGTGTTCGAGGGTCATCGCAATCATCCTCGTGTGAATCCGAGGCTTCCTCGAATGAGGCAGAAGTTCTTTTCCCGTTCGTCTGCCAAAGTCGTTTCGTGAACGAGTTTGAAGAGCTGTCAGCAATCGGCAAAGGTGGCTTTGGTCAAGTTACACTCGCCGAGAATCGCTTGGATGGACGAAGGTATGCGATCAAGCGGGTTGGTCTTAACTTGAAGAACCAGACGTCGAAGACTTTGCAGAAGTTTTTGCGTGAGGTGAAAATCCTAGCGCTGCTGGACCACGCTAACATCGTTCGGTACTATCAGGCATGGCTAGAAAAGGTTGAGGAGAGCACAAATGGAACGTCGGTAGCATCGTCGTTAGTTGCCTCAGACATGAGCTCAGTTGGTGGACTCGCTGCTGCGGCAAATTACTCAACAAATAATCTTCTCGCACCGATCTCAGAGCTTGAGTTTCCAGGAGACCGACGCGACCTCGAGAGCTTCTACAGCAATGGAAGCGTGATCAGTGACAATGCCGATGATGGTGGGTTTGTCTGGGAACGTGAGACGTCTAGTATGGAAGGTGAGGATGGCTGGAAGGAAGAAGATTTGGTCGTGCAAAACAAGCCACGCATGAGCCACTTGCCTCCCCGTGTGTCTTCGTCTTGCGCACCGGCTGCTCATGGTAGCGACGAGGACTCTTCATGTAACGCAGCAGAAAAATGTGATCACTGGCTGTACATTCAGATGCAGTACTGTGCTGGCCGCAACTTGGCGGACTATCTGGCTGTTCCGACTCGGCCAATGGAACTGTCGAGAATGCTCAAGATTTTTGTGCAGATTGCAAGTGCACTGATGCACGTACATTCTTGTGGACTGATTCATCGTGATTTGAAGCCAGCAAATATTTTCGTTGCTGACGTAGAGAGAGACGAGATTAAGTTGGGGGATTTTGGCTTATCGCGCTACGCTGCGAATGCAAGCAGCCTGAATGCCTCGGCAAGTCTTGATGATCCCCAACAAGGGGTATCTTTCCAATGGTGTGCGGGACACTCCTCTATCTGTGTCGGTGTGGTCGAACATGTCGGAGAGTACTGAGGTGACTGCGGGTGTTGGCACGTATCTCTATGCAAGCCCAGAACAAGTAGCGGGGAAAAAGTACAACGCGAAGACGGACATTTACTCATTGGGGATGATTCTCTTTGAGCTGTGCCACGAGCGCTTTGGAACGACAATGGAGCGATACATCACTCTCCGTGATGCCCGAGACAGTAAGTTCCCTGCTGATCTCCGCGCGACAAAGCGATGTCCTGAAATCTTAGACATGCTCAGCAAGTTATTAAGCCACGACCCGACGGCACGGCCAACAGCTAATGAAGTTGTGCAGTGGGGACAGATGATGTATGAAACGAGCCTTGCTCAGAAAGCTATGGATGTTGTGCGGTCGCCGCGCAACCTAGGCATAATTCGAGCTGCAGCTGGTGCAAGCTTTTTTGTGCCGGGTATTGATCACTTCATGGTTGGCATCGGCGAAACAGTGGTTACGACCACGTTTTGTCTGAAGGTGGAGGCTGCAATGGAACATTGCAGTGGTGAAGACGGTGGCGAGCGTCGTTTGCCGAACCATAATTTATTGAAGCAAATATGCGATGTGATTGCCGGGGTTCACGATGGGAAGGTTGAGATCAAGAAGTGTGGATTGCACATGGAGAATGAGGGCGTGACGATTCTCGCGTTTGAGTTGGACCCACAGAGTGCTCTTGCCGTTGCGCCTGGCAGTGACGTGGAAGGCTCCGTGGTTTTGGCGATCGAAGCCCTCGCTGGAGTGCAAACGGTGCATCGTGTGAGCAAGATTGATTGAAACTTGGTGCCAGTGTCAAGAAAGAAAACAAACCAAGAGGTTCGGTTTCAATTCGAGTACAATGAAGACCCGTCGTGCTTGAAGCGGGCGTGAACCAAGTTCGCCTTGTCGATCAAGTAAAGCAACGAGGACATGGGTACCAGCTGGTCAAGTAATGGTATGTCTTGCAGGGTTGTTGGGTTACACTTGTCGCAGGAAGATGAACAAGCACGACACGAACATAGCTCTGTATGTGTTCAGAGCATCAAATCAAGTGCCAATCTAGCTTGCCTGCTGTCAGGTCTCCATGCCATGACAAATGCACTCCATCGCACAACGTCGTGCACTGGAAAACAGTGCCATCAGTTGTCGAGTATCGAAGAGCAGTACGTTCAACGTCGGTGCTGATTCGACCAGTACTCTAAATCCGCCCGTTGGTGGAGGAAGACACGCCTGCATCCGAGTGTAGCAGTAACGAATCCAAACGAGAAGCGGTGTCGGAATTCATCCACTCCTGAAGAAAAGCACAGGTCACGTTCTGGTTCGACCTTGTTTCTTACCTAACGCGTCGTTGACAAGTGTGAGCATCATGGCTTCGAGCCCGAATCAAAGGGTTAATGTGGTTGTATTTCACCTTATCTGACTTGTCTTGGTAGATCAAGGCCAGCAAAGTGATTCTAGGCTTGTCGCAAGCTCACCAACACCTCTACCACCTTGCTCCATCCAGTACCCGATTGCTGTCGCTAACCCTTCCTTCATCAAAGCCGATCCGAAAGCGCACTGTCTTGCTCCACCTAACGTCGAATGGAAGGTCCCGCGGTCTTTTGGCGTTTCGGGTCCTCCTTTGATAACGCTAGTGCAGCCTCGTAAGTCGAAAAAGTGCCTTCCTTCCTCTTTGAATTGTTCGCGCTCGGGTTGCTGGACGCTATGCCCAGAGCCTTCTTAAAGTAGTTTTTCCACTTGTTATCTGACCCGGTCTGCAACGCTTTCGCAATATTAGTCCATCGAAACTTGCCCTCGTAATTTTCTTGTGCTTGTGCAACCTGGCGTATATTACTCAGCATACGCCAACCCGTAGATTCACTTATTTGCGCAGCGTGCATGCGATTAATCATTGTAGTGGGGGACATGTGACTAACAGCATTGTTTACGTAATACATCAGCATCCCGTCCACAATGGTAGACTGCCCCGCTTGCGCTAACGTCCGTAGATAAATATAGTCGCCTTCGCTCTTGAGCTTGTCGAATAAGTATCGATATACATCATATCTGCCGCCATGATGACCATCGGGGGACACAAATAGGTATCGATGAAGCAGTCGCAACTTGTTATCCATCATGTCTCTTTCTCCCGTCAGGTCGGAGAGCTCCAGAAGGCCGGGAGATCGGTCGAACGCGATGCCGCGGTTCTTCCAGGACTCTAACATCGCCGCCTCCAAAGCAGTAAATATCATCTCGTCATTACGATCAGCCACCTTAGCTTTTCGCAAAGCAGTCGCGAGTTTGGTGAAGCCATCAGTATTGGCACCATACATACCTACCAGATCCTGCATCAGCTGTTCTGCTGTCCAATTCTGTGTTCTCTTCCCCTTCTTCAGGGATTTCCACTGGTCTGGGCTCAAAAGCTTGTCATCCGTTTGCTGTTGTAGTTGCTCGATGATACTCGTACGTTTGTCGTTAGGTTGAGCAGCCACAGCAAGCGCACGCTCGATGGCCCTCTTCCTGTATGCGTCCACTTGATTTCCGTCAGCAATCAGTAGCTCATTGATCCTCGTACTGTCTGCTTCCAATCGAGAAGCCACTCCAGGCGAATGCTCGTTGACCCTCGTACTGTCTGCTTCCGATTGAGAAGCCACGACAGGTGCCTGCTCTTTTTCCGCGAGCGAAGGCAGATCAAGCACCGGTGTCGCCACGGTTCCGCTCGACTCAAGACGCTCTGGTGCATCGTGTGCGTGTCTGAGTCGATCCCAACCTTGAGTACTACTGTAGGGGATATCATGGACGTGCATCTGATCTCCCGCTCGTCCAAGTGCGACGTGATTCCGATCTTGAGCAGCAAGCATGGGGACAATTTGGTCGTGTATCACTTCTTGCGCCCGTTCAAGAACCGCAGAGAGTTCGGACGATTCCCAAGCAAATGTCCTGTCTTCGCCATTTGCTCCGTCGTTGCTTGGCAACATGCGGTTGTCGCTGGCAGTCTTCACAGGGTCCTTGGGATGATCACTGGAACGAAGATCCGGCCGCAGCGTCTTCGAACCTGAGGCAGAGTATCTTGAGAGACTTTCGATGAACGCGACCGCGGCAAGGAGCTCCGTGGTGTAGATGCGCATGTTGAAACGGGGTCGGGTGGTTGCTTGTGAGGCTGGCGGGCGAGTTTCGTAGTGACCGGTCGTGCCAGTAGTAGAGACTTTGGTCAGAAGCTGATCCCTTTTCTGAGCCACGATCATCCCACTCTTTGATCTGCGTCTCTTTTACCTGCGGCTTCCTCTTTACTTTACTTCAGTAGTGACTCAAGCCGGTTTGTTTCATAGTGGCGGTGACCAGCATGGGCGACTTGCAGCTGAGCCTAATCACGCGTGACAAGGGCCGGCAGAAAGTGCATTGTTGTGGGCTTTTGATCGAGCAAGTCTCGCTTTCTTTATAAAACGCATCTTCTCCCTTGGCGTTGGAACCGCTGGAGTGGACAAAGCTGTTGTCAAAGCATCAGCGATAGCACTGTTCGTCTCAGAGCTGGCCCCGTAAGTGCGCATGAAGTCAGTGACGACACTAATTACTACTTCATAGCGTAACACTTCCCAACTTGCGCCTTCGGGCAACAATGCCAAGCGACAAATACCTCTAGAGAGCCGGGCGATCAGGTCCCTAACTCTGGGTGGGAACTTCCGTATCGTGAGGAATCGCATGAAAACATGGACGTTCGTCCAAGAAACTGACAGTTAGACTATCCATTAGCCTTAGTTAATATATGCCAACAAGGGTAAGAAAAAAACCACTTTAGAAGAGACGTTACTCGAAACGTTTCTTAGATTAGTAGGACCCATCGCTTTTCAAACGGGCTGCGGTCTTCAGTTGCGAGACGACGGCTCCTGCAGCGGCGCGGGTGGGGAGCCAACCCGCGACGGCGAAATCTGTAGCGGTGGCAGCTGAAGCGGTGGAAGTTGCAGTGGAGATAATGAATGCTTAAATGTAGTCAGATGAGCCGCTGTAATCCATTTCTCTTACCCATTGACGACCGATGGTGGACGTTTCTACGGCACAAAAGAAGATCGAGTTTGGACCGGATGCTCGGTGATGCCGGTCAGCGTGCAGCATTATGCGAGTTTTTGCATGTCACGAAATTCCCCGCCGTTACATCCGATCATTTCTCGGCGGCTGCCGAGCGCGTTTGGACATTCGATGGAGGCATATGTATGTCAATGGAAGCGGATGTGGTGGGTATTCTGTTCTATATGTATCACGACATTATGGGTGCAACGCAATCGGGTCGTTCACGAAGGGCATTCCGTCACTTTGGCGGGATGTATCCACGAATGCACAGTTTTAAGTTTTCGGCAATTACACGCGCTAGCGCTGCGAGAGCGTAGACAGCTACACACCCAGGTGGCCGGGACTCGTCTGATGCAATGCATTGGACTGCTCACCATGGCCCTATCTAGAGCACCGCACACAGCGGTGAGTCACGTACAACCACCGGATCATCCGACACCGGCGTTGCTATCCTGGCTTAGGTCTTTCCAGACGTCTTGTACACCATAATATCGTATAATAGACGGTCTGTTCCTCTCTCTCTCTCTCTCTCTCTCTCTCTCTCTCTCTCTCTCTCTCTCTCTCTCTCTCTCAAAAGAAGATCGAGTCATTCATGTCCGTCTACTGATCAATGATTTACTGAATGATACGACGCGATACTGTGTCGATTGAATGACGTGCCGTAATAAATCACCGGATGAGCCGCAAACTCAGTGAGTCAGTTACATGCTTGGTCGCCAGATTAGTCCTTCATCCATATCATAAAGCGCAGATCAGGTTCTTCATCCACATAACCGCCCGCGCGATCCTTGTCCAGTCTGAAGCATTTGCCGACGAGGGGATGCAGGAAACAAGGACAGACACCTTTGATACTCGAACACCTAGACCTTGTTTACCTTCTACACAAAAGGAGAGCGCACAAGACGCGTTCACACACGCTTGAACTGCCGCGATCAAGAGATCGTATCACGGGGGTTGCCTGCGAGGACGGGGAGGTAAGGACATAGAGTGGCCTGAGCAAGCTACCCAAAAATTAGGGACGCAGTCCATTTGAAAAGCAGAGGGTCCTGCCTATCTTAGAATCGTTTCTATTGAAGTTCATTCTAAAGTGGCCTTATTCTTACCCTTGTTGGCAAGTATTAAATAAGGCTAATGCATAGTCTAACCGTACCACAGATTGTTCAGGCGACCACCATGTTTTATGTGATTTCCCCTATCTGTGGCCCCGATAAAAGGGGGAAGGCCGTCTTGCCGCTGCGTGCGCTACAGAAGGCACCACAGCGAGTAAACCCAAAGGGGACGAGGTGAAGGGAACGGTAACAGCGATTGTCACCCCCCCCCTTCACCTACACCTACTATTTTGCTTCAGCCTTCGAGTTGTTGGCCCGGACGCCGAGCTTGACTCTTGAGTTTAACGAAGCGAACTTGCCGAGAACGTGATCAAGATCGGTCTAGTCCAGGTACGTCCGCGGCCCATCGGGAGTGAAAAATCGGGCTGGTCCCCGGCGTTTCCTGCGACTTCAGCGCCCTGTCTGCACCCCGGACTGGATATCCGATTCCACTTGCCCTCTGCGAAGTGTCCCCGTGATGACCGAAGGCCAGCCAGAGAAGACTAAGCCAGCAAGGCAGAAGATGATGTAGTTTAGGCAGCAGCACCATCCGATATCGTATAGGCCATGAGCAGTTAATCGACGTTCAGGTGATTTACCAAGTGGCGTCATGGATAGATAGGTGGCCACCGATGCAAGGAGGGGAGTGATGCTGCTTCCGATTAC